GGCATTTGATGGGAAAAAAATAACTTAAAAAAAAGATAAGTTGAGTGATAACAGCAAAAATGGCCTAATGTAGTGCTGTGAATCTAGCTTATCTGCAAGGAAAACAGCTTTCAGAAAGCTCAAATTATCCAGGCTGCTTCAGTTTAAATTAAAATACAAATGCCCATCATGCCTAGTCTCCATTCATACTGAACACTGGTTCCTCCCAATGTTCACTGACTTTTAACTTGGTTCTAATGAGTTCTCACTGCATTAAGTGAACACCAGGAGAGCATTCTCCCATCTATTGTTGTATAGAGTCTTATTAGCACTAATAATGGGAACTGTCTAAGGCTTCAAGAATCCATCAGTAACAAAGGTAAAAATCTATTGAAAAACTGCTGCATTTAGGAAGCATCAGCAATCTGAATCACTGAAATACAATACAGCCCAGCATAGCATGGATTTACTATATTTGCTGTTAGATTTACTCTGAGGAATTGGTTCCACAGCAGTTATATCGTAATTATTTCTTTTCTTCTCACTTCCCATTTACGAAGGAACACAGTAATAACTGTAATAAGTCAGAAATAATTTTATCAGACTAAGCCTTTTATTAGGCTTAGCTTTATATCAATAAGAGAACAGGTGCACAGGCAACACAACGCTGCTTCAGGAGCTACAGTATAACTCTATTCCAGATGAATAGCAGCCAGAGTCCCTTCTGGTGCATTATTCTGTCTTTGACAACAGTAGCAGATACAAGATCAATACTCAACATTCTTTTAATTTTTAGTCCCATTAAACAACTTAATAAAYGAAAACATCCTCGTAAAGTAACACAAAGACCAGGAACATCAACAACAAAAATCTGTCTGGCCGGGGTTATTGCTGCGTGCACTTGGTTTGCTGTCTCCTATTATGAAGTGGATCAATACAAGACAAGAGCAGCTGGAGATCCGCTCTGTCCAGCTCYAGCTTTGCAGAACTGCTGCCACTCTCTCCACAGAGAATAAAGGGGCTGTGACTGCAGTGCTGGTAAAGGTGCCATGTCAACAGGCCTGGCAAAGAAGATTTCGGCGGGCAAGTAAAAGAGCTCTGCTGGCTGGGACAGGAACATCGCTGTACCTGTGAACTGCGCTGCTGGGGCACCGCTGCTGCAGGGAGATGCTCATTCTCCTCTGGGCTTGTGAACTGTATGGTCTCTCTCCGGGGATTGGTAAGGACACACACAGCTGGAGGGCATCTCGGAGAAGCCTTTGGGGGCACCGTGCAGATAAAGATCTGCTCCACTGTCTGGACAGTTGGGTTAATGAGCTCTGCATGGCTGAATCAGGACTGAAAACCAAAAACCCAACCAATGAGACCAGTGGTAATTACAACTTCAGTTTACTTGCATCTACAGATGATGGCAGTAAAGTTAATTAGTTGGTTGTTTTAGTGACAGCTTATGTATTACATACCCTTGTGTCACAGGCTCCCTCCTGCTTCTCTCCTTCCTGCTGCTTCTGCATCAAACGCAGCAACTGCTGCCCAAGGCAGTTTTTCCACAGAAGGTRCAGAAAAGGATTTGTGCTGCTCTGTCCTAATATTGGTCCTGCAAGCTGGGCTGGAGCAGTCAGGGACGGGGGAAGACGCAGCAGTCCTAGACTTCTGCTTTGGATGAACAGAGCATTTCAGTGCCCCAAAGTTATCAAATGGGCTTCTATCTTTAAGCAGCATAAAAGGCACCTCAGTCTGAAGAAAGAATGTGATACAATTTGGTAATCCTCTCCTTCCCTGGACTTTCTGACTCCTGAGGACAAATAGGCCCTTATCTAAAACCCAAAAAGGGATTCATATGTAATCTGCACCTGCTTTACGTCCCAAAGTTTGACAAGAGGCTGTGAAAGCCTGCCTGGAGAGTTGTTGGGAGCAGCCTTCATTCCAATGGAGATGAAAACTAAACACTCACAAACAAATTTGTAAAAGAAAACCAAAACAAACCCAAAAAACCCCACCCCCATACAACACTTGAGTTTTTGACTTGTGATCTATGATGAAAAACAGTTGCAACTGCCCTCCCACACCAGCCAACAAAAAAACCCTGCAAACTTGGATGTGAAGGTTGTGAAGGGTGGGTGAGCTGAGCTTCAGAGCTCCAAACTGCTCTGAAGGGGCAGAAAACTGGCTTGGCAAGGCTKCTGGTTTTTTGTTTCTTGGAAGCACATGTACAGGACAGGCAGCTCCCTGCGACGTGGGGCTGCCTCCCTTTGGACGCTGAGGAGATGACCCCGCGCAGTTGCAGCATGTAATTTTAGGAGGGTATGAAATGCAAGTTTCCATTTCCTGGAACACTAACTTAAGAGGAAGAGCTGGGAAAACAAAACTTTTTTTTTTTTTTTTTAAATAAGATTAGTATCAATGCCAGTGCTGTTAGTCAAAAACACATGTTAAAAATCAACAGCAACAGTTATGGTTGTCTTTCTAAAAAAAGGCAAGCAACTACTGATCTTTGCCCTTCAGAGGTTATTTTGTAGGTGGTCRTTCCCATGCTGTAGGCAGAACAGACTTGACAGGATGGAGTCGTCTCCAGATCCTCTGCCTTCGTTCTCAGGTTCTTCTGAGGCTTAGACTCCAGCAGCTTTTTCTCCCTGAAATGTTGCCTTTGGGCAAAAGTACACCACGATTCTCCTAAAAATATCAAGACCCAACCTCTCAAGTCTTCCTAACTAGCAGTAAGTTTCCTGAAGATAAAAGGATAAGTAGAACAAAAGAAAAAACAAACAAAACAAACACGCTAGTCTCCTGATCCCTCTTAAATCCTCAAGATTTGAGACCCCAAAGCAAGTAAACTTAGTAGAGGTAAACAAAAGATGAAGAAAAATTCCGTCTTTCCCCTCCGTCCTCCATTTGCCATTATCTCGCAGTTTGCTTCTTCATTCGTGCATAACAAAACACTCTCAAAATGATCAAATATGATCACAATATTCCRTTAAAATCTGCCTAGTAACAATTTGGCCCTAAAACCGAAAAAAACAAGAAAACAGAAAAAATGCCAACAAAACCATGACAGCATTGCCCAAKGACTTCTAATTCAAAACAGAAAATTCAGCTTCAGTGACTGATACTTCCAACCACTTTGTGAGGTTAGAAGAAGGCTATCTAACAGAACACCTTTAAAATATGGAGAAATACCTTTGTTTCATGGTCTCTATAAAATGAATGTGGCAGATTTGAGTTCAGTTTCCCAAATCTCACTGTACAAATCACACAAATGGCACCTGAAATTCAACCTATTTGGCAAATAAAGGGCTTGAAGACAGAAGCWGCTTTGCACCTTTCAAAAATCAGTGTGTGTGAACACAAGCCCTGTCTCTAGACACGAGTCCATACTCCTTGGTTCCCTCCCTCTTGCATGGAAATTATAAGCAATTATAKAAGTCTTTTTCACTCCACTTCATCCCAGTTTCCTTTTTGTTTGCAAAAAGAGGTGATTTATATTCTAACACGAAACCTTATTTCTGCACATGACGTGATTCTTCCTTGAAGGTACACAGCTTCCTTTAAATGTGACTGGGATAAAAATTAACAGCAAAAGCTAGAATCTTCAAAGGTATTTAGAATTATGGAATACAGAACTCATACAGGATTTGAAGCATCAGAAAGATGCTTAAAATCTTACCAGAAGGGTAGAGATGCAACTGTAAAGGCAGCTAAGAAAAGAGATAAGATATAAGGTGCCAAGTCATTCCACTAGAGAGAAAGTCATGCTTTTCCTCAGAGATGTGCACAGATTTCAGTAACTTCAACACAAGGATAAACCCCTGAGAGAGTAACACAGGTCCCTTGAAACTCTGACCAAGGTGAATGAGAGTTTCCAAGCTCTTCTGCTATGGGTACCTCAGCCAAAGGCCGTAACAGGGAAAAGTCAGACTTTAAACTAAGGAGTAACAGATTAAGATGGCTTTTACCCAGATAAACAAACAGTTCAGAAGAGTTAGGATTCTTCCTTTCCTATTTCTCCCACATTTCTGACATATTGGAATAAATAGTCCCCTCTTCTCCCATKTTCCCATCTAACTCAGGATGAGTGTCATTTTTTTTTTTGAATACAGACAATAAAATCTTTCTCTACCACAAAGTATTTTAAACATCTCATAAAATGACATAGCATTCCTCTCTTCATTTAGGGAGGGGATGCCAACTGTCTGCTACTTTTAGCAGGAAATTCCACTGACAATAAAATAAATAAATCAATCAATGGGCTCAAAGGCCTATGATTCAATTATATGGGCTACAAAGAGCTGGGATTTGACAGCCGAATGTGTTCATCTGTAAGATTTATCTGTGAACTTCAATTAGAGAAAGGGAATAAACTACTCGGTGAAAATGAAGACATTTGGAAAGAAAATATAATTAATTCAGGATGGCGTGACACAAAGACGGTCTGGTGTCCATAAAACAAGAGGAGCTACACAGCTCAAAAGTAAAAATGAGGGAGGAAAGCAGCCTTACTGCTCATGGGTCTGGCAAAAGCTGCAAACTCTCTGGGCAGAGAGTTAGCAAACGCCGAGCTGGAACTGTTKGAAAACAGCAGGCAACTTGGACTTAGTCAGACCCTCAGCTAAAATGCATCAACAAGCTCTAGGAAGGCCTGAGAAACTCTGCTGATTTACAGTAACTTAGAACTGAAATGTAACAGTTCCCTCTAAGCAATATGAAAAGCCTTTTCTGTGTGTTTTGGAATATAACTATTTTTGCCTGTATGGCTTGYGTTTCAAAATTTCATTGACAAAGGGCTGGGTTAAAAAAGCTCTGATTACATCTACAGCTAAGCTGGTCTTTGCTCACAAYAGCAGATCCTGAAGATGATTTTAAATTCATGGTAAGGACTTTCTGCTGACAGAACACAGCAGCACAAGGTCAAACAGTGCAGAAGCTGCCACTGAGGAAACCATCACTGTAAAACGGGTTACCTTTGGATCGCTGTAGAATATTAAATGATACTGTAGAGATGTGTCAGAAGGACGGGCACTTACATTACAATTGGAAGACCCATCAAATGTTGAGTAAGAACCATCAGGCCAGTCTGCAACATCCACGGTACTTGATTGCCTGTGCTGGGCTTCGTACTCCTTTAGCTGAAATTTGAAAAGACAGCAAATGTTTTCCAGGGAGAAGAAGCTATCCATCTTCATAAAACAGCAAGAATCCTTTCAGGCTTTGGGTTTTTTTTAATTTTTCCCATTTCCTTGTGAAACTGGGAAACTCAGAACTTTTGCACTGCATTCCTCGCTTGTTTTTAAACTGAAATTCATGTGTTTTAGATTTCATGATGAGATGGAACTTTTTTAATGAAGTGATATATAAATACTGAATTTTGATGAACTATGGCTCACAAGATGTTACATATCTTCATCACAGAAGCACAACAAGTTAAACCACAATAACTTTCATACAGAAAATTATTTGCAGGGAGAGACTAGATCTTTCATAATCATGAACCAAACACTATCTCTCTCAATTTCCAATAAAAGGCTTAAAACAAAAAACCTAATTCCACTGGAGTGAGATTTCCCAGAGGACCAGGCAAGAACTAACCATACCACAGAAATAAAAGTTGCTGCTAGTAATTCAGACCACTAGAGGGAATCAATACCAGTACATATATTGAACTTTACAGATCAGGTGCAACTCTCTTCCCTCAAAACATTCAACAGCAGAGAAGTCAAAGAATTACCAGTATTGCTTCTTGGTAATTTTAAATTTTTGGGGTTTTTTTTTTTTTGTTTTGTTTTGTTTTGATTTGTTTTTCATTATGTGACACCCAGCAATGGGTTATTTTCTTTGGACAACGGAACTTTATCTTCTGTGATACTCTATTTTGAGACTTAATGTGAAAGAGTATTTGTATACAGAACTCTGTGTGTTTCATCACAGTATTTTGCACATGGGGACAAAACCAAGACTGGTAGGAAAATTTTAACAGTGATCTTTGAGCTCCTGAACAATTAAAATCTCAGCTTTATTGTAGTAACCCTTGGTAACCCTTTGTAGTTATTTTCCCTGAGGGTTGTTAGCATTCAGGTTTTCTAGAGAAACGGTTGTGTCAGCCACTGTATTTATCAAAAAATTACATCTGTTTTCTTTTACTGTCAAATGCCAAAAATGGTTGAATATGTTTTCTTAGAGCTTATTAATACAAAACTCTACACTTTCAGCTAAAAAAAAAGAAATCAAGTAAAACAAATCTCAAGGATTAATATTTTGTAAAGTTTTAATAGGCAAAAATAGAAGCCTTCAACCAAACTGCCCTTTAGTTTGTGCTAAACAGCACAAAAATGGTGTGGAAAAAAACCCATTTTGAAGAAGATAAGGGAATCCCAGAAACACCTGAAGCATTTATTTTGCTATTAAAGAAAAAGAAACCACTATGAATACATATGTAAAATAAGAGATACTACAGGCAGGATTCCTCTCCTTTAACTTTAGACATCTGCAATGTAAATGTCGACATCTGAGCTTTTTGCTGACTGCTTCCTTTTAGAGACAATGGGGAGAAGTAAAAGATTTTAGGATTCAACTCATCTGCCATATTTTAGACATCTACTTTCATTTGAGATGACTCCCATCTTTGGCAAGCTAAATTTCACATTTTCCATAAACAAGGAAATCAGCATCTAATTTATATTATCTACTGAGATGGGATAAACAAGAAGGATTTCTTCCCTTCTCTTACCCTTCCTGAGCAACTGCAAATTCCAAATTGCCGTTTCCTACATCCTAAAGTACCTTTCTCAAGGAAAGTGAAACGTGCACATATCCTACCCGAGCAAGTGCTTCCTCAATGGTGATCATCTTCTCTTTGACCATCATCATCAGCTGGATCCGCTCCTCATCACTCATCGTGATCTCACTGGCCACGTAACCGACATCCTCTCCTGGGGGAGAAAGGCAAGAGGCAACAAGCCCGTGTTAGAGGCCACKCCAGAGAGGCACACGTTGAAATCTGGCATCATTCAGTGCCCTGGGATCTGGTTACTACATGGATCTGGCTGGCCACAACAGACCTTTCCCAGAGCAGTCTCCTAGTACAGCTGGAATGGTGCAGCTGAACACATCAATGATAAGTTTTTTGGTGAGCAAAGTAAGGTAAGGCCACAAAACTGAGTCTACTTTGACACTGAAATGAAGAAAGCACAGCAAGGAGAAAATGAAAGTGACCCAAATCATGAGGTGGCTATTGGCCCTGAAGTCACCTGAGCCAATAACCAAATGAGAAGGTGCTAACGCCAAGGCAGTCCTGCACCCAGCTGTGAGGAACACGGTGACCTGTTGCTGCAGCACATGCAGGGCCACCGCAGGAGCCCTCCCAGCTGCACACAGGCCACATTGCTCCATCTGTCCATCCCCTATGGAACTGGCAGCTCTGCTGACACAAGGTGCTGGGTGTGCTTGGGTTGTGACCTGTCCTCTTGGTCTGAGCTTGGCACGTTCACATGGACAGTTAGAACTTGTCTGGAGAGCAGACAAGCACCCACGCCTAACTGATGGCGTAAATGTGCCCCCTTTCGACCTCATAAATGAGTTACTGTCAGTTTTCACAACTTGAGCACAGTCACAGTGATTTAGGAAAGCATCTGTTTGCAACATAAGGATCTAACAGATACACAGGGGGATACAGGAATTTTCTTCATGAAGAAAAATACTTTAAGCAATGCACAGCTGTATCTTTGAGAAGCACTAGAGAAAGAGACCAGACAACTTAAGTGGAATAGATTCTCCAGTTCACTATTCACCAGATATACTTTCATTATTCGCCCTCCTTGTAGTGATTTTTCCTKCAATAGGAAAAAGGCTGAGTTCAGGCCTAAAGTAAACAGGTCAAAGTACCAGAATGTCACTTGAATCAAGTCAGAATCAAAAAGAAAAGCATGTGGTTAGTTTAAACATACTGTTTACACACATGACTCTCTGTGCCCGTGTGTGCTGCCACTGCCACCGGCACCATCAGATAGGAAGGCCTTCAGCTTCGTGCACTTGCTTGTGTATCTACAGACCCGCAGCTGCCATGCTGTTATAAATGATCTTATTCTTTTGTGAAGTTTGCTCCTTATATTTTATATGGATGGCCCACACTTGAAAGTATTTACCTTTGGAAGTCTGTCTCATTAGTCCTTTTTGGTTCTTTCGGAAATTCTGCCAAAAATACTTATTCTTCTTTTTCCAGTCTGCTTTCCCTAAATGGAAAGTGGGAAGGGGGGAAAATGGGAAAGGGAGGAGGATTTTGGAAAGAAACTTCAGTTAATAAACACTGAAGAAATTTTCAAACATTAAGTTTTAATTTCTCAGTCAAAAACAAGAATAAACAATCCCCAAATCTTCTTTTTTCCTTTGTATTCTGTTCCAGAACTATGCTGGCGTAGCTGTCCCAAAGAAATGCACATTCTTTGATAAGTGCCAAGGCTAGAGAGGATTGAGATAAGCCAGTAACTTACATATTTTGAGCTATAAGAATACTTTACATTCATTTTGCTATTTGTTATTAATGTCAAGCCTGGAAGTGCTTTTGAAATGTTTTGTCAGTTTATTCTCTTTAGCTGAGTCATAACTTTGTAGCTTAAGCTACAAGTCAGATAAGGAATTTTCCAATGTGCATGTGTGCGTATCTAAAGAGAAAATAAATTCTTTATATGTATATATGTGTATGTATTCATCTATCTTTATAAACATATAGAACTCACCCATCCACACACACATATTGCTATTTCACAAGCAAAATTTTAAGAGATCATTAACTGTATCTGTGAATCCTGCACTTTGTGAGTCAGTCCTGTATAAGGCTGGGTCTCCATCTCCATTAGTATCATATCTGTGTATTGCTTGAGGACCCAGAAATATTTGTTTTATAAAAGAAACAGCATCTGGATCAAGGGAGAACATACAGTTACGTTCTACTGCAGCATCCAGGCTGCATGTTATAAAGTTATTGCCATCTGCAGGAGAGTATAGAAAATATAGAATCTGTCAGAAAGGCAACCAATACACAGCCCCACTCTACTTCTGAAGAATTCAGTTGAACAGAGTGTATGTTGGACTACTGCACATCTGCATTTAACTATAGCATTTTGGATCATGCCCTAAAACTGGATTTACTGGCTCTGAAATATAGCTCTGAGTTCTCTCTGATGTCTCAAGAAAAGTTGGAGGAAAACAGCTTTCCTTGCACCCTCCAAAGTCCAAAATAAATTTAAAAAATCCAGAATTTTATCAGTTTAACTAAAGAATTTGAATAACAATCTGAACTAAGCAAAAAAGAAAAAAAAGAAATACAAGAAAAATATATATTTAAGAATGCAAAACATTTCAAAACCAATGAAAGAGACTCGGGCATGTTATAAATAAAAATAACAACAACAAAAAATTAACCTTTGTTGGTGATAGGTTTCAGAATGCAAATGAATAGGCCAGCGCTGATCTAATATTAACATAACTAACATTAAGCTAACGCTAACGTAGCATAGCTGAAATTCAGTAGAACATGTCAAAAGCTGCAGACTTGTGCCAGGACAATCCTGGTTGGGCAGTTTCTCACCGAGAGCCCCAACACTGCATTTTTAAAGCTGTTTCGACTCACCCTCCCCACACCCCCAAGTGCTGCAGACTTTATACTGCTGGCATTATGTTTACTCAGCTCTTCCCATCCTAGTGCAGGCAGAACTGGAAAACTGTTTAAGAATTCAACAGAAGCATCAAATAAAATGAAATGTACTGACCTACAGAGCCTTCTTCAGAACTTGATTTATGAACAGAGAGCCTAGAACACAAAAGAGAAATGGACTTATTGATGCAGATGTCTCACATTTCATGGGAGCTGCCTGATTAGAGCAAATATCATTTCCAAACAATGTATCATGAGCTGATTTCTCTTCCCTTTTCTTCCTAACACAGCAAGTGGGAAACAGCAACCGAATCCACTGGCCTGGCCACATCAACCTAGTTCCCCTCCAAAGCTCTGAAACAAGCTCGCTGTGAGCTAATTAGTGCATAGAAATGTATGCACTAATGGAAAGCTATGGTTAAGCCAAAGGAGTCCAGGAATCCCTCAAAAAACACTTTTTCACATACTTCCCTTTTCATTTGTAAAATAAAAATAGTATTTTGGCTTTCTGAAAAACTGTGGTGCCGGGATGCTGTTATTTGTTTWCTTGTATAACAATTTTAACCTATTTCTCTTTCACCTGAAAATGCTTTATAAATACTCATTTGCAAAACGAAACTTTCAGAAAGCTGCTGTGAGGAGGACAGGAGGGTTTAAATTTAAAGCCAAGGTGAAAGAAATGTGTGTCCTAGGGTGTCCAGACCCTAGGGAGCATGTCCACAGGCTACAGTTCTTTCTCCTGACTCTCATCTGTGTGTTTTCCCACTAGTTTTTACTCAGGAGCTATCTAGAGAGGCTTAGTCTGGGAGAATATGGACTTTATGAACAAGTCACCAAAAGAACAGGTAAATTATATATATATCTGCATATTTTTCCCTCAGTGTTTAAGCGCATCGAACCAGTTGTCAGTAACGGGTTTCAGCTCCGTGCCAACGGCTCCCCGCGGGATGTGGGCCGAGCCAACACTACCCCACYGGGCCGCGTTTCTCGCCCCGCAGAAGCGGAGCTAACGGCTCCCCGCGGATGTGGAGCCCTCTTGGAGGCCTCCCCGGCCCGGCCGCCATGACGACCTGCGGCCGCGCCGCCATCCCAGGGCGGGCGGGCGGCCTCGGCCCGCGGCCCCCGGGGACTCGACCCAGCGGGTCCGAAGCGGGTCACGGCGGCGCCACGAACGCGGCGGGCGCTGGCGGCTCCCGGCTGCTTTCGCTCCCACTCGCTGCACTTGCCCAGGCTCCCAGAAGGGGGCATGGAAGAGTTTGTGATGAACGCGCTAAGCCTCTCCGAGGCAAGTTTTAGTTTAGACAGGCTCGGATTTTCAAAGGTTTACGCAGTTACTGGCCAAAGTTTGGCAGCCATGAAAAACACACTCATCGTTTTACCAAATCATCCTTAAAGGGTTGAGGCTGCTATGAAGTTTCAGCCACATTCAGTAATTTACGCTTCACTCTGATCAGAAATTCAATCTATCACAAGATTTGCACCAGCTGAAGCAATGGAATATCAGATTTGCACTGCATCAGATGGAAGGAGGCACTCGCTGATTTCCTCACTGCCRAAGTTTATCCTTGGAGGCGAAAAGTTAATAATGTAGGTGACTTGCAGCCAAGTGCTTGATTTTCAGAAGCCTGAATAACAAATACAGGAGGAAAAAAMCTCATACTTTTGGGCTAAAATCCTCAGAAAACCTAGAATCATAATTAACACAGACCTTCAACAGGGTCATCTTGTTGTTCAYGGGCAAAGCTGTCCACATATTCTAAATAAAGGGACACCAGATAAAAAGTAGGCGGACATTTACATGGAGACAACAAAGCAAAAAGAAAGCCAAGTTCCGACTGAACTAAGAAAAACCTCAAATCTATTAACATACTGCATCTGGGCATAGCCCTCACCCATCAAGCTAACACAGTTATTCCCCTTCCCTTRCATAAACTCAGCATGCATTAAATCCACCTCATCACCATGCTCAGAAACGCAATCTATTAGTCACCAGAGCTTTGCTCCACCAGTAAAGTCAGTCTCAGCGAGGAGGGACCGCCCTTACGCCGCTCCATCTCCCAATCCATTTTCGTCCCTTTGGCGTCTCCTGCAGCTGCCAGCAGCCATGCGAACACAGAGCAGGTGTAGCGGCAATGTTTGTCATCTGGCATCTGCTCACTGGCAATTGGCCTGGGGCCACCAGATCACCCCACACTGGCTACCAAAGAAGGAGAATAGCAGTAGGAGCTTCTGATGTTCCTGAACCAAACACTGTAAGGAGAAGCGTCCGCAGCAAGCAGACCGCCTTCTGATTTAAAACTGTTTGAAAACTAGAGGTTTTTTTTTCATCAGAGGATGCAAATTCCAATTATCCCGTCATGCATTCTCTGAAGAGGAAATCTTCCATGTCTGGGCTGACCTTGAAAAAGCTAACAGCTGGTCTTAAAAGATGGAAACGCTGACAAAACCTACCACATGCAGCCTGATAAGATAAGGCATTTGCTTCTTAGTTCTACCAGACAACTCCGATACTTTAAAATCCTCAGTGAAATCAATCAAGTGTTTTGCTTCCGAGATGTCCACCGAAAAATTCCATGGTAACTTGGGGCCGCTTTATRTCAGATTTGCCAATTACCCTCCCTTACTGTGCTAAGTCTGCAGCTCCTCTGCGAACGTGCCCTGCAAGTGATTTGTGCTCCCCCATTCATAGACTGATAACTTGTACTGAAAGTTAATGATGCAGTGACACTTGGCAGCGGCTGCAGCGYGGCGCGTCTGAAAGGGAGCCAAATGCCATTACTCCACCGTGGAGGCCTTGGTTTTTGTTGTGGTCTGATGTACAACTTCATTAGCAAGCGTTCACATGAAATGTGCTCTGTCACAGCATAGAGCAGACAAAAATCTATGAGTATATGCTCAGACAAGAACGGAGAAAAAAAGATTTATGGCCAGAGGGAAGGAGTATTTTTCTTTTCTTTTTTTTTTAAATCAATGCAGAATCTAAAAGTGAGTTTATGAATAAGTCAAAACTTTAATCCATTAATCTCACAAATCCAAGCCCAGCTCTAGGCCTGTACTTAGGTCCTCTTGTGACAACAGTGCTGAAACTAAAAAATATATATATTAAAAAAGTGATGAGTAGATAATAGCTAAACATGGAGCCACTTGGGGGAATAACAGAAAATATTTCTACATGGCTGCCTTAGAGAGCTTAGACACATGAATGGGTTTCAATGGAGTTCACTGTATTATATTAGAACATGCAATGACACAAAATTAGGTGCATCTTTTTAAAACTGGAATTTTGTCAGTTGCAARTGACAGAGTACCTGGGAATACCAGTTGATAAAAATTAGTGAAAAAAAATCCACCGCAGAAGGATGAGGAATTCCAATGGCAGCATGAAGGATGAATATACACAGAAGTATTATGCATGATTGTAAATACACATGTTCAAGAAAGATGAATTAAAACCAGAAGCATAAAGCTGTTAGAAGAGTCGGAGCAATRGATGGGTTATCTTAAGAGAACCCTGGATTTTTTTTGCCTGATCTAGTTCGCCAAACTAAAAGCTAAAGAAGGTTAATTTACTCCCTATTAATACAATAGAAGAACAAGTAGATATAAAGCTGGAAAAAATTAGAAAAGCTACAATTTCCTCTTTGGACAAGCTTCCACCTGGTAGGCAGATGATATGAGAGATGCAATAAAAGACCTAGCTGCTTTTAAGAGGGTCATTGAAAGATAGAGAAGTCTGTGCTTTTGATAATCAAGAACTGGACATGAAGGCTGCCTGCCAAGGCCACTTCAAATGTTTTTTAGCAGTCTGTAGCTTCAGTCCTCCTTATATGCAAAGGCCAGGCAGGCAAAATGATCTTTGAACCTGTCTGGAACAACCTTCATATATCTAACCATTCCCTTCTTTTATAAATTACTCACTGAATTCTGGAGATGGGCTCCAGAATGGGCTCCAGATGGGCTCCTGGAGATGGGCTCCAGGAATCACAGTGCAAGGAAGAACCTAAGTACACATTTGTGACACAGGTCTGCTGCGACCACATCTGACTATAAGCAAGGCTTTTAATTAGGCTGCATTAAACTTTTTGGACTAGAGCTTTGCCTGTTAACTCTGGACTGATTCTGATGTCACACGGAAAAACGCCAGGGCTTATCTTGCAAACACAGCAGCTGGTTTTACAAGACAYGCAGTCATACGTGCCTTGAGACGTGCAATAGCTGTGTGCTGGTACATTACAGAACTGCAAAAGGAAACAAATGACACCATGTGCTGCTTTTATGAATGCGGCTGTTGACTTTCGAAAGCTCATCATTCTCAAAAAAAAACAAACATGAGAGCTGGGAATGACAGGATTTTTGATGGCTTTTTGTTTTACCACTGAATATTTTAAATGCAGATGTGCTTTACCACCCAGCCGCATCTCAGTTATGCACCATAAAATCCACAGGTGCATAACATTATCTGATAATGAAACCACCACTGTTATGATCTTCAATAAACTGATGAGAGCCCTCTTATTTCTTCCCAACGACTATTTATAATYCATTGAGGAAAATGCCTGGAATGGGATTTTCAATCTACAGATATTATTCGCGTTGATAGCGGTAAATAAACGCATACAAAAGCATGCAGTAGCTCTGCTGCAAAGTCAATGGGTTTATCTATGTGCCCTAGGAATGGCCCAGTCACGTAATTAGTATGAAAAACGGACAGAGCTGTAACTGCTCCTGCCTGGATACAGGATTAATTTATCTAACCGGGGCTGGCATGGCGAGGAGAACYGGCCTTCAGTATTTTTATCAAGTTTGCAGGAACCTGAAGAGAAAGCCAGCCCGTGAGGCTCTGACCTCGCGGGCACCTGTGTGAGAGAGAGAGGGGAAGCCAAGAGGGTTCATTCAATTATCTTCTCATTAGGTTTCCATAGCGATGGCTCTTGAAGCCGGGCAAAACTTTCCCAGTGGAAACAAACCYGGAGGCGCCTGTGGGCTCGGGGCACCCCTGCACATGGCCTGCACGGACACGAGCGCGCGGCCTGGCCCCGGCACGGCCAAGGGACTGCACCGAGCGAGCGCTTGGGAAGTGCCCGAGGGCTCCTTGCCRAGCCGAGGCGCCGGGACGGAGCAGGAGGGTCCTGCAGGGACTGTGGAGGAGCTCGGTG